AAAGAAAAGCTTCAGAAGCAGGCAGATTAGAACTCTTATTTGGGAACCAATTTCACCCTTCAAGCCTCTTCATTGTGTTCTAAACTGTCCCACCAACTTTAGAGAAGCATGAATCTACCCAGCAAGTGCTGTAATGAGAGATCCAAAGTCTGGATTAGGTACAGGCTCAAAATAAGGTTCTTAATGCCCTTAGGCACATCCATCTTCAGGTCCAACATAACTAAAAACTAGGGCTTTGACCCCAGGATGCTGATGGAAAGAACAGGGCTAGGTACCTACATTTCCTGTGTAGTAAATGGAATTTATGTGCCTCAGAAGGAGGGTTCAGACAATCCAGATATCAACTGTGGAAATGCCTATAGGTAGCCACTAGGAAGCACTAAGCACAGGGGAACATCTGAATTCCTGGTCCTCTGTTGAATTTAGACACCTGACTCAGGACTGCACATGACTTGTACACAGGGTCCAAAGAACTAAGTTTTCTTCTGAAGCCAAGTTCCTAGTAGTGAAGGTCAATCAATTTCAGTACAGATCAATGCATTTTAGCTCTTAGGTAAGAATGGACCTATGTTATTTGAAAACATAGCTATTAAGAATGCATGGTAGATCTAACAAGTCCCAGTGCTGTCTATGCATTTTATCCAGTAGCTAGTGAATTAAATAAGTAGTCCCAGGGGGTAGGACCTAGGGTTCTCTCTTTTAAAAAAAAAGCATCCACTTGACAGAAGTAAACAGCAAGGCTCCCTCTTGATTGCCTTCTAGCGCACACAAATCTTGCATGCTTGGCTACCCAATGGGATCGCTTCAACAGGAGAGGTGGAGAGTGCCCCAACCCTAATCCAGCCCACAATGTACTGCTTACAGAACTATCCTGCATTGGTGATGTGTAGGGGGTGCACATGCACCTCCTGCAAAAAGCGCTTCCAATGCTGCCACTCTCCACCCCGCCCTTGCCACTGACACCACCAGTGACATCTGCGGGCAGTCCCTGATCAACGCTGCCAGTAGTGTCTGCAGGTGGTTGCCACTTCCCACCCCCTGCTGCCGACACTGCCACAGTCACCTGTGGGAGCTTCCTGCTCACCACCACCACTGCCTGCAGGTGGTCACCATGCCTCCCCAGTCTCCAGGGGCACACAGCATTCATGCTTTCCTGGGTTCAGACCTCTTTTACAGAAGGCCAATAGCACATCTTCCATTTTCCAGGAAAGTGTCCTAATCACTAGGTTACTGGACAAGAGATGGGGGAGTCCTTTTCCTTCTCCTCCCCTCAACTGTGATTTAGTAAGGCTATGGTTATAAGCAATTAGGCCTTGGTAGGGGTTACAGATTGTGAATCCCATATTAACAGAAATGACAAACACGGGCTGCAGCAAGTAGCATAAACAACGCTAACTTCCAGGAGAGGAAAAGGATTCTGAAAAAGCATCCCTCTTCTGCATTTCCTGTCAACTGCCCTACACATCCCCGCTGCTTTGAATTCCCACCTAAATGCATATAAGCATTTCTCTGTAAAGACGATCCAGGATGCATGACTGTTTTTTAAATTTTACTTGTACATACATGTGCACATGCATGTACAATCTCTTTCACCCGCGCGCACATACTCTGAGAGAATGTATAGTGTCACTGTAATTGGGTGCTTTTTTAATCTAGTTTGCCAATCTGGATTTTGCCCTTAATGCTTATCTTCTATCTGAGTTTACATAGAAAAAAACAAAAATTACCTAGAATGCTGAATTCTAGGCTGGAAATAACTGGGCTGAAATATGTTGTTTTTCATCAAAACTCTCTCAGGAGCCCACATGTTTTACTAACTTAAAAAATGAAAACTGAAGTGGCATTCATTGGTGAAATGTTATTGAAAAGTGATACCAAGATGACATAAGGAAAAGGGTCTTAAAAAAAATTGCACCCAAGTACTAACTAATCTAAATATTATTGTATTGATGGTAATAATAAGATATGAATAAATTTCTAATCAATTCATTATCTTCATCATTTACAATTACACAGAGAATGTTTAAGACCCAGCTAGACAAAGCTTAGTCCAAGATGATTTAGTTGGGGCTGGTCCTGGTTTCAGCATTGGGTTGGACTAGATGACCTCCTGAGGTCCCTTCCAACCCTAATATTCAGCAATTCTAAGTTGGATACCTTTGCACTTCTCATGGATAAGTGCTACACCAAGAAATTTAATACTTACATAGGCAGCAACTTTGAAGACCGTAGATGTAACACTTATTTCCTTTGTTTCAGGATGCTTTTGAACACTGAAATATGCAAAAATAATCCAAATTTAATAGCAACATTTACAGCATGATTAAAATACTACAATAATGTCTGAAATAGTTGCAAATTATGCATTGTGTTCTTGCTCAAGTAAATGGAATGGAATTTATTGGCAAGGACTTGATCCATCTGTCACAACCAGAAAATTATACATAACTAGACACGGTAACAAGATAAAAAATATTTACCAAACATTCTGTCTGGTCATTTGGGGCTAGTTTTACCTCAGTTTCAGCTGCTAAATTACAATTGTACTAAGGAGAGACAGTAGTGACTCTGACATAAAGAATATATCTGATGGAAAGTTTTCCCTGCTTTCACCAGCATTTTTTAGCTAATCAAGATTTACTTTTTATACTTTTAGAATGGCAGAATTGCAAAGTAAAAACTAGTAATTGCATGTTACAGGGAACAAAAAACAACTCCAGTAGTGAATGGACCTTAATTCATTTATGCTTATAAATTCTTTTATTTTTTAAGTAGTGCTAGAGTGATGTAATTGTGATGGTCCAGGAATTGTGCAAGAGGCAAGGATTTCTTAGGGTGATACCTTTTATTGGATCACCTGCATAGCTGGGATAAAGTTAGACAAGCTTCTGAAAGCAAGATATTCTTCCAAGTCTGAAATGAGAACTGTTTATTGCACCGTTAACATTTCTAAGCTTCCTTTATTTGTTTGCTATAAGACTTGCAGACATTCTCCTGGAGCTGAACCCCTCCTGGAGCTCTGGGTAGGCTCCAGTCCCCAGAGAACCTGCTTCTCACCTCTGCACTCCTCCAGGTTAAACCCAGCTAGCTGATTAGCAGGATGGGGGCCACAAAGTATTGTCCCAGGGCTGGAACCTTTCCAGGGCTCCAGGAAAGTTCCCGCTGCTAGAGAATGGCCCCCTGCCCCATCCCACCACTCAGCTGATTGGCAGGACATCCGGCAGGGTCCCCACAGGGCTCCCTGATAGCCTGTCCAGGTGCAAGTTGTCAGGGAGTTAGTGCTTGCCTCTCCTTCTTGGAGAGAGAACTGTGGGACAGTGGGTGTCCTCAACACCTGAGAGAAGTGTAAAGCCATTCAAGTTAGATTGGGAGAAGGGAGGCATTCCATAAAGCCAGTTTTCTTCTACAAGAAATCCCTTGAACATCTGTACTCCCTCCTTTTGTGCCAAGAGAAAGGCTTTTCTTCCAGCACAAATGTATTGCCTGTTTGTGGCCTGAGTCTTGCAAATTCCGTATTATACAGATCCAGTGAATTTGGAACTTGACAAGACGGTTTTATTTCTGAAACAGGTTTCAATATTCTGGAACAGTGGATTCAGGTTTTTAGGCATGGGTACTTCTGTTTTCTATAGTACAATAGCACGGAACAACAAGTCCTAGTAGCATGTCCCATTTTAACACACCTTCTGCACTGTTGGTTGGGGTTTTTTTTTAAATAAAGAATGACAGTGTTATGATCTGTAAACTAGGGGTGTCAAACATACAGCCCACAGGCTGGATCCAACCTGCTGGGCTACCAGTAGGCCAGGAAATTTGGGAGCATGATTAACAATAGGCACAGCCTGTCACAGAATCTAGGGCCCTGATGAACATGGCCATCAGCAGCAGGGGGTGGTTGGCCCACCACCACTTAATCACCTCCACCATGGCAAGCTGCCACAGGCTGGGTAGCCACTTGCCTCACGCCAGTGTGCCTGCCATCCCATGCAGCATCCAGCTTCTAGGAGCCCCACAGTCCAGATTTGGCTCAAAACACAGAGTGAGTCTGATATTCC